TCAGTTTTCCATATAAAAATAATTTATTTAGTGATTTTGTAAAAAAAAGAAAAATGAAAACAAACTATGTCGTTCAGCAAACAGTTCCACTGTACCATCAGTAATTGGTTTTCCATCACACATAACAATTCCTCGAGCTCCAACATTTTTAATACTCTTAGCAGTAGTTGTTGTCAACAATATCATAAAATAATATAAGATACCAATAAAAAATACTGCATTATTCATTTCTCTACAAATTTTATTTTAAATATTAAAAAACACTAAAAATCGAACACAATATTCCAATTATTTGAAAAAATATTACTCATTAAAAATAACATTCCTAACATAAATTATTTCATTGACTGACTTTCAAATAAATAAAATCCTTACACATATTTTAAGCTCCTACTCATATACAAACTGAAGAGCTTGTATATACTAACTTGTTATTCTGACATTGTTTGTAAAATATACTACGGTGAGAGATTTGCAAATCTTTTTACGTATGCTAATAATTCTGAAAAATTCTACACTTAATTTGCAATGAGCTCATGACACCACAAGCTGAAAATGTGAGCAGAACTAAGTGTAAGCATACATGGTACAGATCGCAGGTACCAATACAATTAAATATAGTTTGCAAACACTGCTAGACATGAGAAAAAAAAACCTTCCTGATCAAGTCGTGCTTCTGTTTCAAGGTACTACACATAATATTTGACATATACTCAATTTACGACCAAAAAAAACCATTTAAATTCCTCTGTTCGCGCTCTCATTAGTACATTACATTTCTTATTACTTTTGAAACAAATTATAAAGATAATTCTAACTAATATTAAGTCAGTCTTACTCTATTAAAGAAAAAAATCAATATTCTGAAGACGTTGTAAGCATGAAATGATGATAGCCATAAAATGAGACAAATTTTTCAAGCAAAATAAAACTGATAAAATGTCTGATAACAAAAATATGAAAAAAAAGAATAACAAGAATAGAACAAGTAAATGACTCACAAGTTTGCTCGTTTCACTTTTATTACAATCAATTCAATAAATATTATTATTAAAAGTAACGCTAGCAATAATAAAAATAATAATAGTCTCTTACACGCTTATCTTAATTTGCAATTATTTCAAGTGTCTACAATTAACACATAATACTAGTCATAAATTTGTTCAAAATAATTTCAAGTTTTGAATAATCATAAAAAGATATGATAAAAAACAAATGTTTTGTCAGTTCTTGAAAATATCCACACATTGGCAACATTAGACTCCGATTAATGCAAGCATCTTGGTGGGAATCATACTTAAGTATAGATGTAGAAACTTCCAAGAGTAACTCAACTAGCCCGTATCTGAGGGTTGAAAGTGAAGCCTGAACAATTGCTATGAGATTAGAGACTTGATAGTAAAATGGAATAAAAAATTAAGCCAAAATCCCTTCATAACCAACACCAATTATGTCATACCAAGAATTTTATTGCTGACAGACCAATGTCTCAGTCATGACACTGTAAAGTGAAACACATCACAGAGTATAGAGCAGCACAAAAATCATCTGCTCTATTTCAGTTACAAGGTGCAACTTCTGACAGTGAGGACCATTTTGATTTTTATTTATTTGTCGATAAAAGGAACTGCATACAATTCAAATGAAACTGCTCACAAATCGATCAAACATGACTATTATTTACAACCCAGACTCAGAAATGAAAATATAAACAGAACAAAAATAGAACCGGATCTAACACCAGAGATACCAAAACTATAAAAACTTCCCTAATTTTAAGCCTCCCTCTAAAGTTCACAAGAATTCGGCTTAACAAACAATAGAAGTAAACGAAGAGACCTGACTTAAGCAACACAATAATGACAAATTTGAGATCCGGCAAGTCATATGGACATACAAAATGATGATGAGTCCTAGCAAAAAATGATAATACAATACAATACTAATATTTTCCCTAAATTTTTACACTGATACAGTGAACCAATTCATCTTTATTTCGGAATTTAAAGGGAAAATGCAAACAGTTCAACACAAATCCACCGTATTTTCAATTACCGATATTATCGTTTGGAGTAACGCTATGCAATACAAAATACAAGGAGACGAAAACAGTGATATCACATCTTCTTGCGTCATCAAGACCATAATAAAATATCACATAAGTAAAACAATGGAAAATCCAAATTGATAACTAAGTAGATGTCACAGAGTTATGTGAGAAAAACGGCGCACAATCTCTGGAAAACATGTCTCTCAATAATGTTATTAAAAAGAGCCAATTTTTTATTTTTCGTTTTGTCTCATTGTTCTATTGATTGAAGGACCTTCGTGGGAAATTCAACAAAATCTTTTTCGGTCGTGTGGATAAATGAAATAATCATTTAGAAGATAGAGTTGCATTTATTTAAAACAAAATTTTATAGAGGTCATTTACTTTTTCATAGTACACAAATAAATTCGAATTTTCAACAATTACCTGCTAAGAAGAGTGTGACACACCTGACATACTCTCGCTGGTTTTCGATGCGGTCCACTAGGCACTGTTGCCGTCAAACACAATGCACAGAAAATTTTGCCACAATGATAACAATGAAGTTTAGAACGGTTCTTGACAAAGTTTGAATGACACTGATTACATGCCTGCACGTCTTCATCAAATTGCCACCGTACTTCCTTTAAAGTTATTAATTTTAGTGTTTGATTGTTACGTCAAATACATCTTGCATTTTTGTAGGAACAAAAAGTCAAAAGACAGTGTAAAGTTGGTCTATTAATAAGACACTGACTAATAAACGGATAGTTGTTCGCTACATAGCATGCAATTAACAATGTCAAAAAAATAGTGATATCAAAACTTTCAGAACAATCTTGAAAGTCGATCACAAACCAGTTACTTGGGGTTCAATAATGATAAAATATGCAATACTAGTCAGTAAACATTCTTTTATACAATAATTAGATAGCAGAAACATCGATTTACTCATAAAAATGTGGCATAAAGCCAACTAGGTGATGGAATAGACCGCTGTCATGGAGGCCGATATTTTTACAGGGTAAAGAAAAGAGAACTGGAGAATAGATAACAAATTACCTGCTCTGCTTGCCGAATTTTTTCAAGCTCTATCTGCAAACTTTGAGACAGTTTGACGAAATCTTTTTGGACCGCTTCCGATGTATCAAGTTCTTGTTGCAAAGTTGAACACCTAAATGACTCAAAAAACTTTCCAGAGAAGCGAAGATATGACATTCTCACGCTAAATAGTTTTCTTTTATAATTTAAAAGACAAAAGCCTATTTTTTTTTTGATAACTAGGTAGCACACTTTTGTTTGTAAGAAGCGATAGTCAGTTCCAAATCAGCGCGTTCTTTCTGTACTGCCTGCAACTGCTTCTCCAAATCCTCGATTACTTCACGGTACTCCGCCATTTGCTTGTCCATTTCTTCAACTTTTGAAGATGCATCTTTCATAGAATTCAGCTGAAATACGAGGAAATAACACCGATATGCGTATAAAGCTCTGAAAATTAAGGAAAAAAAAACGGGAGAATAAGTGAATAAATAAAAAATAATTGTAACAAATTTAGTTCAGCAATTATTTCTGTTGAAGGTAGAAAAAAATCACTTGACTCCAAGCGAAACCAAGCTCCTGATTAACTCCGTTCACTTTCTCATTGTAAGCATGTTCAATCCTTCTCTTTTCTATTTCATCTTCTTTTCTTTGAACTTCCAACGTTGCTATTTCATCTCTCAACATCACCTCCTAAAGTAATTCATAAACCTAAATAGTTTCGTACCACTACATACAAAGTTTATTTAAAGTTTATAAACATTATATTTGATTTGTCATCTGAAATAATATTTTTGGATAAAGTAAATGCTTTAAAATCGAATATACATAGGAAAATGATTGGATTAAAAATCGATAGCGAAGCAACTTCATATCATACAATGATTCAAGTAGCAATAAGCTGATCACAGCTACTAGATTAATTTTTGAAACAGTTACAAAAATAATATAGTCATAATTTATTTTTCCAGATTTATATTTGCAAATTATATACACATACAGCATGTTCCTTAGCAGCTCGAGTTTCAATAAGTTCTTCTCTCAATTGAAGGCATAAAAATTGTAACTGATCAACATCTTGAGGCAACTCTATTGTTTGAGCTTGCATTTCAGAAGCACATTTTCGATTAATGCCAAGAAGTTTCTACAAATATATACTAAAGAAAATCATGCAGACATCTGCACTGCCCCTGTTTCGTATGAACGGCATAAACGAACAATCTTACACCAAGTTAAACAGAGACATACTTGGTATCGAGTGCTCAAGTTTATTAGATCCTTATTTAACATCCGCAAGCGTTCTTTAAGACGAGAAATGCTGGTCCGCTGCTCCCGTATCAACTTCTCACATCTAAAAAAAATCTGTTGGAAAGAATTGTGGTCATTTGATGACAACGCAGTGCATTCCATTTATTGTGAAACGTATTGTAATTTTATATAAGTGCAAAAATTGTTTAAAGACTTGGAAAAACAAAATAAAACTTTTCATCAACAATATGCAACTGTTTGGCGCATTCATCGTTTTCACTTTTTGCAATATTTACTTCTTTTTCATTGTCTGCACATAAAGTTGTAGTTTTAATCTCCAATTCCCTCCTGAAATCAGTTTATATGCCAAAACAAGATATGCAAACAAACTTAATATTGTGAGAGCACTATCAGGATGCACCTGTACAAACGTTCTCCTGATAGCTCAGTTTGATAACGGTCAACCAAATGTAACGCTGCAGATAACTGCTCTCTCAAGTTTCGTTCAGTGTCCTTAAATTTGGATTAATGGAAGTAGAACAAGTTTCTGGGCACATAATTTGAACACATATATTCTAAACTTGTCAAAATTATATGCATCACACCATTAACACTCCATAAAACGATTTACTGAGTAAAAATTATCACAATAATATTAGTAATGGATGAATAATTTTAACAACATAATTGGAATAACCTGCATCTTCGTCAGGTTAACTTCATAATTATGGCACATTTCGCAAGACGGTGTATTAATAACTTCCTCATATACGCTATCTAATGAGGTGTTTTTAATTATTGAATTGATAGCAGAAATGTGTTTCGATGCAGTCTGAAAATTCAATGTTATTTAAAGTAATGAGACTGCAAACATAAGCAAACGGTTTTATTTTTGGTGAATGTTTGATAGAAATACTCATTCAAGAATAGTTCGTAATGAATAAGGTGAAAGTCTTTCATTTGACATTGAAAAAACTACTTCTATGTCTTAATCTGATATGTGAAAAGAATAATATATAAAAATAAAAAAAAACCCTACAATAACCCCAGATTCTTCTTCCGTTATACGACAAGTATTTTGATGATCCATAGAAACTGCAGCAATTTTATCATTTGTATCATTTTGGACCAAAGCAGTGCTATCGCTTAACCTGTCATTTTCATTCTCAGTATCAGTCTTTTTTTCAGATTGTTCAGTGAATACTTCAGCAAGAAGAGCTAAATTCCCGTCCTCTCTTTCATTTACCAATTCATTGTGATTTATCGTGACATCTGAACCCTCCATATTGCTATTTAGTTTCTGCATCATTACATACCAAACTTCCAATCACATTTTACTCATGCAAGATTGAAATACATCTGAAAACTAAATCATATCTTTATGTAATGATCTTGAATGATATTAAAAATTAGATCATAGGTCATGATGATGAAATCACACATAGCTCATTACTTCTTCATTACACAGAGATTTATATCTGCAGAAATAATAATATTTGAAGTAAAACTGTCTAAAAAACTAATGAGCATGAAGCACTCTCATAAATATAAAAAGTTGTTAAAGACGAAAGTATAAAATATGACAAAAGGATTGAAATTAATGAGAATAAACTGAAACAAAAAAAGTAAAACGAATGAAAGTGTATGGAAAACTTAAGAAAAAGCTTTACACTAAAAGCAAGCACACTACGCGGCGAGGAACGACGTGAAGAAGCATTCTAAGCAGAACGGCCACCACGTTCAGCGCAATGCATTCACACTTTTAACGAGTTCCTCATTGAAAATACAATCCCACCTTTTTATGTATTGAAAGTGCAACTGTTACGATCAATCACAAATCAATTACTAATCAAATAATTAAATATGGAGTAGTACGGTCGAGCAGATTGTCAAAGAATATGATTGAACGCAGAGATATATTTCACTTTACTTGCATCAATGGACACAATTTCTAGATTCATCTTCAGGGAACTGAACTGTACCTGATCACTTTGAGAACAGCACTCTTTGAAATCCATTACAAATTTAATCAGTTTTAATCGCTGAAAGTTTTCATGAACTTTGAAACTATTCAAAGTTTTTTTAAATCTAAAATAGTAATCTGAAAATAATATCTCAGTCTTAATTTGAGTTTAATTGAAATTTCATTTCATATAATTTATATGTTATCAAAATAAAGGGAAGTATCAATTTTGGTAGAGTACCAAAATTCAAAATAATCGTGATCATATATTGCATTTAATTTTTATTTATCATTGATTCTCATCAAAATTATTGCTATGCAATTATTTTTATTTTTGAAACCAAAAAAAATCATTCTTTGACTGATACTCTTAATCATTTTAGAGTCAAAGTTCATGTGTGATAAAGTCCGTTGTTAAGTAATTTGTATTTTGTAAATACTAAGTTAAATGTCAGTTTCAAGGGACTTTGAAATCAATCTTTTTCTAAAGCTAATAATTCTTAGCCTCACGTTAGTTAATGAAGATTATAAGTGAGGCACAAACTTTTATTAATTTTGGAGTTACGAATGTGAACTAAGCCATCCACTGGTTACTTCACCAAATCTCGTTTGTTTAGTTTGTAAAAATTATTTGTTGTTAGCTTAGATTATGAATATACGTGCCATTTTGGGTTGTTGATGAATTTCTCATCTTTAATTCATTTTCAGTGAGTACTAAATTTTTTAAACGTATATAAATAAGCAAGTCACGTGCTACGTCACGCATTTTGAAAACTTTTGCCAGTGTAAACAACAATTATTGGTCAAATGATTTTGTGATCAGTGGTTACTAGAAGCTATATAAAAGAGCAGCTATGCTGTGAGAAAGATCTTTGAAAGGATGGATCACTCGTGATTTTACTTAGTTAAGCTTGCTTACTTCACTTTTCTCTCACTTACTTAACCGCTGTTTTGATTTCTATTTTGATTGCATTTGTTCAGTAAAGCTAAAGTTATCAAGTATTTTTACCTATTTACTTGCTCTTTAGAAATGCCAACTCTTATTGCAATATGAAATTTTAAATTCGAAAAATTCAATTGCTACTTCTTTTTGACTTTTTTCGAAGTTTATTTTTGCTTTGCATAAATTATTGCAAGCAATTATAAGTACTGTAGCAATGATTAAATTTCTCGCTGTCTTCTTTCTTGCTACACATTTAAATATTAGAATTTAAATATAGTTCAAATAATTTGCTAATTGGTGCATTATTTGTGTCTTATAATTTTTATAATTAATGCATAGCATGAAAATAACACTAAAAATTTTTTCAGCAATGCTCAAATCACGTTGGGGAATCAATGGCTAAAGGTCACGTTTTTTATATTTTTTTTGTTTACTTAAATAATTAATGAACAAATTTAAAGTGTCCACTACCATTTTTTTTAAGTATAATTGTATACTTTGAAAATAACTCATATTGGTCAGTTTTTATTCGTTTTAATATCCACTGCAGGTATCGGGAGGTATTCAAATCAATCGATGAATACAAATCTTGATCAGGTGGTGTTTTCAGTTTCATTAGTATATTTATTTTTATTTATATTATTGGTAAGATCAGATACCTATCGTTTATATAGAAAATGGTTGCTACAGGTATGGAGAAAGGTGATGATCACGGATATGTGAATCAATTAATGTTATTAATGTTCTGAGGTTATTATTTGATGCACATTAGTCAACAACAAATTTGTCTGAAATTTAAATTTTAAATTCATTTATTAAAGTTGTTTGAGACGTTATTTAGATATTGATTAAATCAGAAATTATTTTCAGTAAGTAAAATCAGAAAATTTATTAGTTACAAAAATTATCGTCAAAATACAGACTGAAAAATCATTGAAAGTTTGTTGTCTCTATCATAAGTTATCAGAGTAATAATTTAGTACTAAATAAGCTAAAAAATCATTCTGTACAAATAATTTTTAAAATTATTTACTTTATAATGAAAATCAGTATTGCTAGCAGTGACTGATCAGAAATCAATGAATTCTTACTTTTTAGAAAACCCGTTGATATCTACGTTTTTTATTTTTTCAACTTACAGAATAGATAAGCTTAATTTACTTAAAAGTGATTTCAGAATAATTGTATTAAGATGGCAAGCGCTTGTTCAATGAATATCCATCCGTTCAAAGTCTTACTTATTCGTCGGTGGAGCTCACTTGAAGGATTAAAAGTAGCAACGATTGTTTAAGGTTTGTTTGCGTGTATTAATCTCAATTTTAATGGTTATATCACGAATTTTCATCTTTATTACTTTGTTCTGAATTTCAGATTGGATCAGAAATAGAAACGATTCATTCATTTCTGGAATAACAAAGTTCAGCTCTATTTTTAATTTTTGCATTGTAACTGCATAACGTTTGAAATTTTGTTCTCAACTACTTCATGCTTTTTGTCAAATACATTCAAATATTTTACTGCCTAAATTATTGTAGACGATGTTGATTTACCGGTTTGTGTCTGAGAATACTTGTTGTGCACGGTATTTTTTGTTAATAGTCAAGTTATATGTAAATGCGATATATGTGATTTGACGTGTATCAGTAGGTGATCGATCACGTTTGTAGATAAAGAATGACACAAAAATTTTTCTTTGATTACAATATTTTTGAATATCGACATTTTTTTATTCCAAAATTATGATAAAACATTGTCTATCACAACATTAGCGAGTAAATATTCGGAATCCGTACCAAAAAAATTTTTTGCATCTTTTTGTTTCAATAATGATTTCTGCTCAACAAATGAAGAAAATTTAGTGAGATATTTGTTTACTAGAATATTTTTGCCATAAATATCAGAAGACAAATTTTTTGTATTAGAAGTTATGTCATCCACAAAGGGGATAAACTTAATTTCTAATTTTATGCAAAGAAATAGAAAAGCTATTTATTTATTTGAAAAATCAAGCTCAAGCACAAACGTGGTTTACATTTAAATGAATTACAATGACAGTAACACAAATGATTTGGTGGAAGTAGAGATTCATTCAAAATTATTAGTTTTATTACGTAGTCTTATAGCAATGAAGTTCTGTTTTTTAGCTAAAATGCAATGTAATAATACCAATCATGTTTAGAGATGCTTTGAATTTTGTCGATTACTTTTGTTAGCAAAAGTGAAGGTGGCTTTTTTCGAGCCAAATTTAGTTTTAAATTTAAAAATTTGATTAAACTGATTTTTGTTACAAGCATTACCAAATTACTGTGAAAAGTTTTTGGAATCGAATCAATTATTATGGTTTAATTTCAGTAAAAAATTAATTCCAGGGTTATGAACTTTTGCAATTAATATTTTAATAAGAAATATTTTTTCAATACTTCAAATTAGCTTGAGAATACTTTTTAAAAATTCATGCCAATATATGACAAAAGCTGGTAGAAATATACTTAATCACTTACTTATGTATTTCACTACCTAATTTTTAATTTTACATATATGAATTATGAATTTTTGCAGTTAATATTTTAATAGAAGATAAACAGATGAAATTGGTTCGTGTAGAAATACATTAAATACAAATAGAAAACATAGCAGCTAGTAAGAAAACTGATTACTAGACATTTTATTGCGCGGTTGATATCTACTGACATGATGTGCAGTATTGCTACCGTAGTATGACCAATACCATGGCGAACTGAAACCTTTATTACTATAATAATAATAGAGGGTAATAAATTATTATTATTATTTTAATCATTATTTATCATCGCACTATATTGTTATCAATGTTATATATTAAATATTATGTTAAATAACAATTTTATTTATCACTTTATTTCTACACAATCAGTTTCCTTTCATTATCAAAAAATTATTATTGCATGAAAAATAAAGTAAATTCGGTAAGTCATTTTTTCAATTTATTGCTATAATTTTTATTTATAATAACGTACATTTTTTTTAAATAACCCGTAAAATACCAAAATAAATTTTGAATTTAACAAGGATACTGATAAAATATTTGAAATCAATTATCCTTATCATTCACTCTTTTAATTTTGTAATTTACAACCTTATTCTCTTAAATTTTATTTGAGCAACGAGCACAAGAATTTTTTATATTATATGTAAATACTTTATAATGATTTAATAAAAGTTTTTGACAAAAAAAATTAATTAATTAATTTGTTAATTACGATGGACGAGAATGCCAGAAATAATTTCTGAGAGAATAAGGTCGCGATGCAATGTTGTAGCTATGCTCTGCACCAATGTACGTGTAACCCGTGTAATTACGACGCTGTGTTAGCCTGCGTGATTCAGCTGCTAGCATTGGTGGAGTGTAAGTTGACGTATTTCCGTAAATACGTGTAAATGTATGAGGTCGCGTTGATTCAACATCGCGATTGTGCAGATACCTTAAAATATTTATTAGATAAATTTTGTGAGATACACAATAAATTTACTGAAACAATAGAAAATTTTGCATTTTTCCTGAATGAAAATAGCTAATTTATACCGCAAAAGCACTATTATCGAATATACAAAGTATTCGATAAGATAACAAAAGTTTATCAGAGACAGTCTTAAATTTTTGTAATACTTTGCATTTGTCATTCATTCTCAAATAACTACAAACACTTTTTAAGCAGTTAAATCTATGCATTATACACTAATCAGTGGCTTGAGTTTTCGTATGTAATATTTAATTTTAATACGAGCTAAGTTATTTTTTATGCAAAATTTTTTATGTGGCTAAGTGTTTATGTTATGTATTAACAATAATTTTATTGAGTATTACGCAAAGTATCAATTCTACTTTCTTTTTTTTAATCAGTATTGTAGTTATAAAATTTAATTTAATTACTCTTTTTTCGCATTTTCTGAAAATGAGACTGAAATACATATCGAAATAATAAACTTTCTTTAAAGTAGCCAAAAGTATAAAATAAAAAAGCATTGCATAATAGTGCTATTTAATTTTTATCCCTTTGAATTTTAATTTCCATCAAATAAAAATTTTATTCTTTTTTAATGCTTAGTTATTGACTAATATTTTTTAGTGTGATCAAATGTAGAATCAAACTTAGTACAACCTAAATTAATACAAATAGTTGTAATCGTGTAATGAGTTAATAAATTCAAATATCATTCATTAATTCATATTAATTTAGGTTGTGCTAATTAATTATAGAAAGATAAAAAGCAATAAATGAATGAATGAATAAGTTAAAAATATGAAAATGCAATTAGTATTTGAACTAACAAACAAACCAGTAAGCATCAGCTGCCCATAGACCACAATATTGAGAATGGTTGAATGGATGAGTGTATGAATTTGTATGAAATGCCATACAGTGCTAATTGCAGTTAAAGTAATGAATTTTTATAAAAATAAAGTATCTACAGAATCATTCACTGAATTTTTGCAATATTCGAAGTGTAGAAAAAAGCGTAACAAATTGACGGAAGTTTACAGCTCAAAACTTCTATTCTAGCAAGCTAAAATTGATAATCTTTATGGGAGTGCAGAAAATTTTACTTTACTAAAATCTCATTTGCTATCAGACCGAACTTGTCAGGGAATATTGGACAAGTTCAAATTTCACTTTAAAAATTGTTATTACTTCAAATCTTGGGATCATATTTTCTGCATAAACAGGTCGATTTTTTCATAACTAACAAGATAATAAAAAGTTGAAATAATAATTTGAATGATTTGATTTTCTTAATTAAAATAATATTAAAGACTGGATAAATTTTAGACAAAAAATAATGCTTATTGATCAAAAGATAGCAGTCAATCTTGATTATTCATGGATAAGTATTTGATGACAAGCAGCAAATTAAAAACTGATTTAATAATAATTTATTAATACTTCCATGTGATATTCTAAAAAGTTTCACTTGTAAAGAAAGAATATTTTGGTAGAAATTATGCGAATGCAATGCAAAAAATAAAATCAAGTATTTTACATCAATAAGAATACTAATAATTAAGAGTAGCACTGATAAATGTTAAGCGTTAACAGTGGGAGTTGAATGAAAAGCATAATGTACTTAAGTAATACTAATTAACGAATAATCACGACTGATTGATATCTTTTAAAAAATAAGCATTAATTTTTGATGTAAAATTATCAATGCATCGATCATATATATTCAAATATCACTGCTTGTCATTAATGAAAAAGTGCTTGCTAATTAAATATGTATAAATTCATTAAAAAGTGAATTTATTACAGCTTAAGCGCAGTTATTTTGAGTTCATCAGTAAACAACCACTAAACTGTGATAAGAAATGATCTGATCCCAGTTCTTCACTTAACTGCAAACTGCAAAAGTAACTGAGAGTGAAAGATTAAATGCTGAAGCTAATCTCAATCATTCACTCAATGTTTTAAAATTTCAGATCAATAAATCATAATAATATCTGATCGTATTTGTTTTAAAAATGTTTACATTCAAGATTGAAGAGCCATGAATAACTGATCTGAACTTTTGTTCAAATTGTATTAAATATTAACATATCAATACTTTTAGCTGTGTACAATGTGCAATAAAATTTCATTAATAATTGCAATTTTATTGCACAAGCTTTAATCAAAAGCAGTACCAATAAATAGCACGCATTAACAGTGGGAGTTGAATAAAAAAGCATAATGTGAAAGAAATCTTTTTTTGCTCAATTTATTTTTTAATAAAATAATTGCAGAATATTTACTTGTAGATGGGATAAGACCACGTACGAACGTTGAAAATATCATATTTTCTTATGGGTAACTGCTCTTGATAGTAACTGATATTGGTGTGATAAGGCGTAGTAATTGCCGTAAGTGGATATAATGAACGCGATCGGTTACTGTATTCGATTCCCTGAAAAGTAAAGCAAAAAGAAAAAATACGAGTAATGCTAATCTTGCTTATTTCAGTGCAAATGAATGTGATCATTTATTGACAAGTTATTAGTTTCATCTGAACTAAAAATCAGAAAGTAAACTTATTTTAAACCAAATCATTCATTTGAAATTTTTAAGCAAATTACTGAATGTAAAAAGTAAGTGAGAGAAATTGCTTTCCATTCAGCAACTGTTTGACAGTTCTAACATTAATCTTGAATTTGAATAAAAGAATTCAGCTTTTTTTTCAACTTTCAATATAATGCAATGGTTTGTTAGTATTTTTGAAAGATAAATATTACGAAAAACATTTTATATATTAAAAACTAAATTATACAGTAATACAAATTAATTAATTAATCAAAAACATTACTTCGGTTGTTGCTATTTCACGAGCTGTTGAATATGAGCGTCTAATGTTGCGCACGTATCGTTCTTCCGAGTCTACGGGCGTACTTTCGCGTGACCATCGTGAAAGATAACTTTCTCTAAAATCACTTCAAAACTTTCAGTGCTGAATAATTTTTGTCAAGTTTATAACAGTTCATTTGCAACTTTTGATCTTGTAATTGCTGCAATACATGAAATAGATTGAAATATTTTAAGTTAAATTTAAAGCGAAAAAACTTGCTTAATCCTTATATTCGAAATCAATAAAAATCATTTATTGATTAAACATCTGATACAGAAAAAAAATTTTGTTCGTTAGATATCTCTTTGGATGTTTTATTGAACTGATGATATAGAATATTCCATAATGTCATCAAAAGTGAATAATCAATAATTTTTCTAAAAACATTTCAGCACAAAACTTAGTTCTGTGATTAAAATCTAACCAAAATGCTTAATTTTGAAGATATAATTTCTAATTTTGAGATAAAGTTGATGTTATTGACAACAGTTGCAAGACTGATTCAAAATGAATGACGAAAAAATAAGTAACAACTGCTTATTTTTTCGCACTTTTTTTAAAGAAATTAAAAATGTATTAAAAAATTTGCAAACACAAACATGAATTGAAGACAGTTAATAAGTAATAACTGTTTGACCTGGGAATTAAGCTTAAATCGAGTGATCGTGACCTTCTGATAAAATAATTCATTACTTCCTGAGATTGAATTTGCCAAATTGATTGTATTCACTTCTCAACATGCAATTTGGGATCAATTCAAAAATTCAATTAGTAAGATTCTTCGACTTTTTCGTAAATTTTATTTAAACTATTAATTTGAATACAAAATCAAATCAATATTCACTTTAAAAAAAGTAGGATTACTTTTGAGAAAATTGATTTTGAGAATAATTCATAGCTTTCTTTTTGCAGCAAAAAAAAAACTGAAAACAAAAATAAACAAAGCAAAAAAAGTTCTCCTCTTATTTTAAACAATTGAGAATAATACTTGCAGTAGATAAAATTTGGCTGAGCGATTTAAAATACCATGCAATTTTAGGATTAAGCGAAATAAAATTCATTAAAACAATTACTGGAAAATAAATTTGAAATGGAAATTTAAATTATAATAATAATTTGAACCAATAAAATTTTATACAAAAAATAAGAATTAGTTAAAGCTTTCAGATGAAGCATTTGATTTTACTTTCAGCAATAAAAATAGACAACTGAGAAACTTATAAATCACTTGGCAAATTGCTGCCTCAGCTTTACAAAAAATTTTTATTTCCTATCCTCAATATCAATAATAAATAATTATTTGCAATTATTTGCTATTTGCATTTTTGCCTTTTATAAAAACTTCATATTTGTAATCACTTTTTGAATTAAATTTTTGTCAATGGTTCATGAGTTCAATCTATAACAAGTAATCAATCACATTCAGAAATAACTTACCCAATGTTTTTAAGTATTTTCAGCTATTATAACTAAAAATATTAATTATTAAAAAATATTATAATAACTTATAAAAGTTGAACTCTTAAAAAGCATTGAAAAATATTTTGTGGAAAATAAAACTCAAGAAAATAAGTGTAGTGATAAAGTAATATGAATCATTTTACTAATAATTATTACATCTTCCGTATGCCTTTAATATTACTGAAAATTTCGAAGTTCAGCAAAAACAAACATCTAAAATGCTAATTTCAGTGATAAGTTCCATGATTAATAGTTATAAAATTTAATGAATAAAAAGTAAACCAAAATAATAAAATACAGTAATAAAATCTAACAAAAAAAAAGTGATAATTGAGTTTTATCAAATAATTAGAATATCGAATAATTATATGAATTGAAAACGATAATTTATTTAACAATCACATACATTTATCACAATCTTATCACGATTTCCTAGTCAAAACTGACAATAATTTAATAACGAATAACTTATTTACTCATTTTGTACAGGTAAACATAAAAGGGAATCAAGCAGACATTTACTGCAATTCAAGAATTGACAAACTGAGAAAAGCATGTGGAAAACATTTTCATATTATTAAAAATTGAAAATTTGATCAAAAAAATGAATGAAATTGAAATAACAATACATCGGTTATTACTCAATTTAACACAAGCGAATTATATCTGAAAGTCTTCGGCTTAACAAATGATATTTTGGTTTATTGGATAGAGGAAAGATGTTTATCAATTAAGATAATACTTGATAAATCGATAAATCTTTGATCTGTATATTAATAAATTGAATCAAATCAATATTAAAGGTTATGTCATCAACAATATTGGTAATTTTTTGAAAATTTCGATCAAAAATAAACTTTTTGACTTCAAAATAAACTATAATTGAACGTGAATAAAATAGGCACGAAGTGAAATAGCAGAAATAATGATTTGCTGTAACAAAAATTGTGTAAAAAATTTATATTTTGTTTTTCTAAGCTTTAAATTTTTAACACAAACGAATGCAAAAAAAAATAATTATTGAAAGGGATAAAATATCATTACAATTTCAAGCTTTTCAGCACAGAAATGTACGCCACTACATGAATAAAGCATTTTAGCAAACAATTGTTAAATTTATGATTGCATTGCAAATTACGTAAATGCGTGCGACAAGAAGGATATAAAACAGCGAGAATTTAACAGAAGCATCAATAAAGCACAGCAAGGATTTTGGAGAGAAAGCTCGACTGTTGCGATGAAAAATAATCGCTAGTACTTACGACACTATTGCAGTTTGAACTGCTTCAAATCAATGTTGAGAATCGAGTCAAAATCATCAAACTAATAAGTTTCAACTAATGCCGTCATCAAAAGTCTAATTAATAAACATTATTATAAATAAAAATCATGCAATTTCCTTCAAACGATTACAACTTTAATTATAAAAACTAAAAAACCATTAATGTACATAAACTGTTTATTGCTGTGCTATTCTGAATCCTTCGCCATCAATCAATCCAATTGCTCGAATGAATGAGCAATGATCTCAAACATTGATATGAGTTCATGTATGGATATAACACCACGAAGATCTCTTTTCTGGTTTCTATTACTATTGCTAGAACTAGCGCTCATACTTTCATTTATTTTTAGATCAAACACTACGCAGACAATCTGTGATTCAGATATATTTTTCGAGATCAATTGATTACATCAAGCGAAAAATCAATCACACTTCAACATCACTCAAATTTTGACCATTACAAGGGAAAACCAATTACTACAAACCCGTGCATGCTAAAACGAACATAAAGTCGGTCGCCTATTTTTATAATCACTTTA